TCATTAGATATTAAAATATTATAATTTTTCTATAATATTTTATAGCCAATTTATACCTACGCTTTAAGGGATAAGATTATAGTAAAGATTTTAAGAGATTTGATTGATCAATTTGTTATAATAAGAATATTTTTATTATATTTGTTCAAAAAATTCGTTATATTAAGAGTTCACTATATTAAGAGTTAACTATAATTTTTTTTAATTATAAAATGCTTATTTATTATCAATAAAAAAATTATAGCTTCTAATATTATATAGAATTTATTGATTAATGATGATCTTATGTTAGAAAATCTCTTAACTATACTAAATAATAATCATTATATTATTTATATAACTTATTTATTTTATTTATTTTATTTTATCTGTAATTTTTTTAATATTTATAATTTATTTTATTTCTTTTTATTATTTTATAATTTATCTATTTTATTATAATTTTCTTATAAAATATATTTAGTTTATAATATAACAAGTAGTTAACTATATTAAATTAATTTTGTATAAATAAAATAACTTTTTGCTCAAGTTGTAAATTAATTCTTAAGCGAGTTTTAAACTTTTAAAATACTTTTCCCTTTAATATTGTCTCTTATCTAGGATTTGATTATAATTTGCTTTAAAGTTTATCATTAAGTTTAACTAAATAAATCTTAAATTCTAAGACATATAAATTGTAGAATTGATATAGATCCTAAAAATTATAAATTCCAACAATAAAATCAATTGTTGCAGACTTTTAATTTAGATATTAAAATAATTAAAACTGAATTTAGTGACGATATTTATAAAATCAATTTTTTAAAAAAAATTTAAAAGATAATTCTTATATTATTTTATTTAAATAATTTTTTAATTATTATATTTTTATATTTTATATTAAATTTATAAAGGAGTTTACTATTTACCACTACTGATGGTCATCACCGGTAACACATTTTTAACCATATTTCGATTTTGGCAAAATTAAAATTGCTTTTTGGATTTGTGTAACGTTATTTAACATCCTAAAAAGGCATTTTAGACAGAATTATAAATTTTGGCCGAAATTAAGGATGTTACGAATAACATGTGAAGAATATGATTTTACATTTGAAAAAAAATTGTCCTCAGAATATATAGTAAAAATGAAATGTGGAAGGTGTGACGCAGGGTGACAAATTATTTAAATAGAAATCACGTGATACCGGTGTGACTACCAGTGGTGCGTAATAATTTTTCTTTTATTAAATTACATAAAATGTTTTATATATTTATTAGCTAATAAATTACTTAATCATCATATAATAAAAAAAGCAAATAAAAAAAATAAGAGAAAAAAAAATTTACTATTAGTAACATGTTACGTAATTTGTATGAATTATACAGAAAAGGGACCCGTCTTAAAACGGAGTAGTTTTGCCGGCATTACGGCATTAAGAAATTAATTAAGTGACGAATAAGGGACCTGACAAATAGGATTTTGCCCCCCGGAATACTTAATAAAAACTAAAAGTGGTAAGATGTGTTACAGGTGATAAATAATTTACCATGATCCCGTGATTAACTCCACTTTAGAAGGATGATTCTAGCTTATTCGATTTTATTTTAAATCTTGGCGGCAGAGTGAGAATTTTCTCAAGAATGATGTTCACTATGAGTAGGGTGAGACAATTTTCACCAACACTAACTCAAAAGCAGAACCGATCCAATTATTTGAAGATACCAGAACACGCGAGAAAATTTCAAACGTCTACTTTGTTTGAAAGTATAAATAGGCCTTGAATACTATCCAACAATTTATAAAAAAAAAAAAAAAGAAAACCGAAACGTTAAAAAATTTCATTTGTATTTTTAATTTAAAATGTCACTCACCAACTACGGCTGGGATACTACTCCTCTTACCACTCGCATCTTCGATGATTTCCTTAAAGAATGGCCCAGACGGGCTAATAGTCGTGTGAATATTTGGGCTCCTCCAATGGACGTTCACGAAAATGATAAAGAATTCACTGTTAAAGCCGAATTACCGGTATTTTATTTATCTGATTTATTTATTTAATTTATTTTAATTTTTATATTTTAATTTTGTTTCATTAAAAATATTGTAATTTGTAGGGAATGAAAAAGGAAGAAATAAACATTGATGTTCGTGACAACGCACTTGTAATTTCGGGTGAAACCAAACAAGAGCAGAAATATAAAGAAGGAAATACTCACGTTCAAGAACGTCGTTATGGTTCTTTTTCACGTTCTATTGCGCTTCCATCGAATGTTAAACCCGATGATATTACAGCCAAGTTTGAAAACGGTCTTCTTGAATTGAGCCTTCCAAAGACAGCACCTACTGGCAAAAAAATTACTATCTCTTAAAAAAAATGTATGAATTATAGTTGAATTTTTATTAGGAAATATTTTTACATGTTAAACTTTTTCCTTTAATAAAGAAATTATAATCTAAGATGAAAAATTTGTTTTTTAAAGTGTTAGGTCAGTTGGTGATAAAGAACTTCAGAATTTAGCTCGAAACGTTTGGCTTTTGCAAACGCGACCATTGTGCACAAACCAAAATAAATCATATTAATTTCAAGCCAAAAAAAAAAATAATATAAACATCCCGAGAATATTTTTTTATTGAAACAAATTATAAAATTATTTTTTTATTCGTGTTATTATCTTGATACTATATGATATAACTTTAAAAACTCATTTTCTAGGTGTCAAGTTTTCTTTTCATTAGTGATTTATTATATTGAAAATAATATCTATCTTTCCTTTCTTCTAATGTGCTCAAAATTAAATAAAAAAAAAGAACTTTTCGGTATTTTTTAAAATTAACAACCGTATTTATGCTAAAACATTAATTATTATTATCATATTCCGAATAAATGCCAACAAATTAGTAGATAAGCAATGAAAAATTAATAAATTTCTTTTCTTTATTTAAATTTACCATATGCATATGGTGTTATTCCAATAACTATTACCTTTTTTTTTTTTTTGGTAATATAATATTTATAATGAATGATGTCATTTTAGATCATATGTGGTCATTTACCCGTGATGTGTGCACTTGAAACAAGAGTCTTACTGATTGATTTATGGCTCTAAGAGTCTAAGACTAATTAATTTAGCCCATCAGCAAACTTTTTTCTGTTTATTATTAGTCACAGTATTTTATATATATACAAACAAATTTTCTCAAACTAGCAAAAATTTTTATTTTTCAGATCAGTTGAAATCATGGTTCTTTGTCTCGCTCTAAATGAACAAAACAATGTTTTAAATCATTGTGTGAAAATAATTGGTTCAAGAGATAAAATTTTTGTGAGACACTTACCAATAATGGCTGCCGGTTTTGTATGATTATATGAAAATGATAATCAATAAGAAACTCATTGATATAATCTATTATCATCTTCTACATTCAATAATAAACCCTGGAATTCTACCTCTGTTAATTGCCATATGTTTTAGCCTTTCATCAAAATCGCCATCCGCTTTTTGAGTAGGAAATGTGCATTTTATCCTTGCTATTTTCCTAATTTACATTAAATAGGAGGTTCTGGAGGAACAACTTATCAACGACTGGAAAACGGTTCTTTCTGAAGGCGTCACCACCAAAGTACTGGAAAAACATCACTTGGACATTTTGCAATAATTTAATAACTAATATATTTATATATGGGGTACCTTCCCAGACTATTCGTGCATTTTATCCAGTTGCTGATCTTTTGGAGGAAGAAGTAAAAACTTTTGATTCTGTACACTTTTAACAAAGGAGGTCCGACTTCTTAAGATAAATGCTCTTGTTGATGCAAGTTCGAGTAATTCACGTGTTGTATTACTCGATTTTCCAGCACCTTCAAAACCGTTTAGGTACAATAAGCCGATCTAGATCACCTCCTAGTACTTTTAATGAATTTATCAAATTAGTCTTTTGCAAAGATGCATCCAAAATAGTAGAGGCAGAGGCACAAATGGTCGTCTTCTTGGACGTATATGGCAGATGGAATTCTATCGTGCCTCAATGCAAATTTTATTTACGCTTCTGTAGATGCTGGAGCATGCTATGGATCAAAGGGTTACATAGATTTTTATGTAGATGATAAGAAAAAATGGGCTATTGAATTGTTACGAGATGGAGATAGATTGCTAGAACATCAATAAAGGGATTGAAAAAGGTGGTATATATATACCCATCCTCATATATTCTTTGTACCGAAAACTTAGAATCCGTTCAGTTGATATATTCAGATGGAATTGAAGAACCTGTCCGGTTGTTTGGTGAATAAGAAAATTTACTTGGAAATGATATCAAAATTTTAGTTGATCCAATGTAAATTGTGTAGTTTAGTAATAAAGCTTGAGAGATACTGTACTTCACCGCAAACATTCGAATAAAAAAGCAATTCGTTAAATAATGATTAATCCTAAATAAAAACCTTAGAGGTTGATTCTTTCTCTTTATTTTAATTTACATCCACTTTTGAAAGGAAAAAAGAAAAGTTAACTGAAACAATAATATACACAAATTTTTTTTTTTTTCACGCTGACACTAAAAATCTATATAATAATAATACAAGATTAATAAAATAAAAATTTTTGACTAAGTATTTTAATTTAATTACGAAGTTATTACGTTCTGTTCAGAGTTCAATGCAGAATCAAGACTAAGCTCTACAAGTTGTATGGGGGAGGACGAGATTTTTCAGATTTACCAAATGATCTCCGAGATCTCAAAGAAACGCCACCAAAGGCTCCACAAAACATATAAATAATTCCAATAATGAATACAAACCAACCGGGTACCACAATGAAAAGGAATAAGCTTTGACCCAAAAACTTTTGACTTCCTATCCCACTATCATATCCAAGGATAAGTGAACCCATTGCAGTTTGTAAAAGACCAAAGAAAGTCCAAGTATGAGTTTCATCCAACATTGGAAACCAATGGAAAATCCGACGTGGCCATCCGATTTCGGTAAATATTAAGATTAATGCTTCTACACCGATAAAAATTCGATTGAAAAACTGGAATATTGTATTACTTTTGCCTAAGCCAGGAAATCCTTTCACGTTCACTATAATACATGTTGTAATAACTAGGAATAATGAAATGATCGAAAGCACGCGCAGCGTGTTTAACAACAACCATGTGGTATTAATTGGCATTTTCTTTTTTTTTTATTTTAAAAATGGGGAAAAATGATGAGAGTATTTTTTTTAAAGAGAATGTTATTTTCTAAAGAGAAAAAATCCACCAGGGATTATTATTTGAAATAGGATAAAAAAAATTTTTTCTTTTCTTTTTTTTTTTGACTTTACAAGTGAAGAAATCGGGCTTTTCGTGATTTGATATTCAATTTATAGAGAATTTGCTAGACAATCTGAATTTGGAGAACAATATTAAAGTGCAGATACGTTGTTAATTAATTATTACCTTTATAGGTATTAACTTTATTTATGAAGTTTTACGATCTTAATAATTGTGAAACATCGAATTTCGTGTGCTACCTATTGTTTGATACCATGAGTTTATTCCGACCTTGTGTTCTAAACATAGACTGAAAAAGAATTTATGCAAGACAACGAATCTTATTTTTTCCTTTATTTTATAAAAAAAGAATAAAAAAAAAAAAAAACAAAGATCTTTACAATTCTTGAAACCGCCCATCCCGATTATCATGAAACTGAAAGTTTAACAATAGACGGGTGTCCGAAAATTTTAGGTCACCAATAAGTTTTCCGAACCGAAAAAAATTATCGAGATTTTTACAATCTTTTTTTTTTTTAAAAAAAAAAACCTTCAATTGTTTCATTATGGGAAAGCGTAATAGAGCCACATTGTTACCAATTAATTTACCACAATTACAAAATCTTATAAAAAGGGATCCTATATCTTACAAACAAGATTTTTTGCAACAATATAGACATTTTGAATCACAGTTGGACATTTTTAAATTGAAGCCCGACGAAGAAGCTGAAGAATTCGGAAGGTTGATAACTTTCATTTCACAGGTAATATATATATAATACATGTTTATGATTAAGTAAAGTTCACATTTAATTCTTTACATACATATAGGTAGCACAATGCTATTCACAAGAAACCAGCTCGTTTCCGCAACAATTGATAAATTTGCTCTCAGAATGTTATCAAATCCTAAATCCTAATGTACGTAGAACTATGGTACAAGCATTGGTTTTGTTACGTAATAAAGATATTATACCGAGTATCACGTAATTATCAAACAAAGTATTTATTTGTGTTGGAAAATTGTTGATTTTGATGTATATTTAAGATATTCCCATCAATTAAACTTGAATTGATTTTTTTCATTGCAGTTTATTATCCTTATGTTTTACATTATTTCGAGTTAGAGACAAGCAATTAAGAGAATTATTATACTCGTATATAGTAACGGATATAAAAAATCAAAATGCCAAGCATAAAAATAATAAACTTAATAAAACGTTACAAAGTTTTATGTATACAATATTACAAGGTCAACAACAACAACAAGGACAACAAGGACAAAATAATGTTAAAATAGGGGGAGAAAAAATTGATTCTAAAATGGGTGAAGATTCAATTTCAGCAAAAAAAAGTCTGGATGTTTGTATTGAATTATATAGAAAAGGAATTTGGTGAGTGAGAATGTTTTAAAGAATTATTTTGTAAGAAAAAAAAAGGATATAGTTGCTTAAAGCTTTTTTTTTTTTTTCCTTTAGGAATGATGCAAAAACAGTTAATGTAATAGCCGAAGCTTGTTTTCATCAAATAACAAAAATTAAAGTTACTGCAATCAAATTTTTTTTGGGTTCAAATCAAGATCAAGATGTTAGTAGTGAAGATGAGAAGGAATTACCAAATATAAGAAGATTACAACACATTAATCAGATTAATAAAACAAAGAAATCTAAAAAAAGAAAATTAGGAAAAGCCTTGTCAACTATTCGTAAAAAAGAATTACAAAAACACAAAGCAGAAAATTTTAACTTTTCTGCTTTACACCTTTTAAATGATCCTCAAGGTAATGATAAGATAAAATTTTAATAAAATTATAAATATTATATTTCAAATAATAATGTGTATTAATTTTTTTTAGGATTTTCCGAAAAGTTATTTTCTACTTTAACAAGCTCTCAATATAATGATCGTTTTGAAGTAAAGATAATAACTTTAAATTTAATTTCTCGTATAATCGGTATTCATAAATTAGTCTTATTAAATTTTTATAGCTATTTACAAAGATATTTACAACCACATCAACGTGATGTTACATTGGTGTTGGTAATATTGGCTCAAGCTTGTCACGAACTTGTTCCACCTGATGTGCTAGAACCTGTCGTAAGAGTTATTGCTAATAATTTTGTCAGCGATCATTGCGCTGGAGAAGTTATGGCAGCTGGGTATTAAATTATTTCCCTTTATCCTTGTTTTTTTTTTTAAAGGAAGAAAATTATATATATAACTATGTATATTATATATATACACATCTTTTATTATACAGGTTAAACGCTATAAGAGAGATTTGTTCAAGGCAACCATTAGCTATAGACTTTACTCTTTTACAAGATTTAACGGAATATCGTTCAGACAAGAATAAAGGTGTTATGATCGCTGCTAGATCCTTAATTGGATTATTTCGGGAAATTAATCCTGAATTATTGAAACGAAAAGATAGGGTAAAAAAAATGGAATTTATATTAAAATTTCTTTTATTTCTCTAAAACTTTTTTTTTTTTTTAATATTAATTCTCTTTTTGTAGGGTAAAGTAGCAAGTATGAATTTAAAAGATTTTAAACCATTACAATATGGTCAAGTTCGTACTATGGAACAAATTGAGGGAATTGAATTATTGGAAGAATACAAACAAAAACTTGGTCATTCTGAAAATGAAGACGGTAAGACAGTATAATAATCTAATTGAAATTTAAAAAATTTAAAAAATTTATTTATTGTAAAATTAATTAAATATTTAGAATGGTCAAGATGGGAAATCGCTTCAGATAATTCAAGTGATGATGAAGGGTGGATTAATGTATCTTCTGATGATGATCAAGATATTAATGTTAGTGATAGTAGTGATGATGAAGATGGTAGAGGTAATGAGAATGATAATGAAAACAATATAAAGGAAAAGAAAATCTCAACTTTAGCGATGACTCAGGTAATGAACACTTATGTTTCCTCTCCTTATAATTGATTCTGTATAATAATTTCATTTTTCACCAAAAAAAAATAAAAATTTCCCTTTTTAGCTTTTAAGTCCGGCGGACTTTGCAAAGTTAAATGAACTTAAATTAGAACATAAATCCGAACAATTAGTAGATGGAGGGAAACGAAATAGGAGTACTACGTATGTTATTTATCGGTATTACTTATCTCGTTGAAATATCTAACGAATTATCATATTATTAGACAAGATGAACCTTCTGACATTATCGATGTGAATGCAATCACTGGTCCACGCAAAAAAGCTAAACAGGATTATGAAGAACGTTTAGAATCAATTAAATCTGGACGTGAAGGACGTGAAAAATATGGAAGTTCAAAAGGTAAAAAGTTTGAAGGTGCTAGTACCACTAACAAAGAAAAAGCTAGAAACAAAGCTTTTATGATGGTCATTCATAAGAAGAATGCATTGCAGAAAAAGAAGATGAGTTTAAGGGACAAACAGGTATATATATACTTTTTACTTTATATATTATAATTCGTTCTTTAAAGATAAATAATAATTACATGTATTTTTTGTAGATCCAATTAACAAAACAAAGTAGCAATAAGAAAAGATCAAAAAAATAATTGACAGATCTATCCTTAAAACCATTCCGATATGGTAATCGTGTTATGATAAATTATTATTGTTTTTGTATAGAAACTACTACTTCGACAAATATTTTACGAAGAATCGACAATGCATCTTTATGACTATAATATACAATTAATTATGAATGATTCAGTTAGAATTTTAAAAATGAAACGTAAAATTTAATTTAAAAAAAAAAAAGGATTAATAAAATTACGCTTTAACAGAATCTTGTAATGCCTTGTCTTGTGATATGGAAATATGTTTCAAAGCGTTCGATTCTTCTTTTTCACGTTCTTTATCAAGTTTTTCGATTTCACTTTCTCTGCATTCACATTCATATTTTAGTCCGGTAATTTCTAATCTAGCTTCTTGACATTGTGTATTTAATCTTTGCAAATGAAGGGTCTAAAAAGAAATAAATATAATATATCAAAATGAAGTATGTGCAGCAGATACCATAGTATGGTTTATAACTTACACCAATCTCCAGGATGTCTCTAGCTTCTTCCGAGGTTGTAAATGATTTTCTTTTGGTAAGTCTTTCTTCAAATAAATTATCTTCGTTTTTAAGATTACTGAACATTTTGAAAATTTTTATGTTAAAAATATACAATGCTGCGGAATTAATAAGATCATGAACCAACGCGTGTTACGTCATGCATGCATATATTTGTGAGACGTCATAAATGCACGGGAAATAACGGGTTAATTAAGATTTGGTTAATTAACCGGTTAATAAACATTTTTATTTTATTGTATCACTATACAATTCTAAATATAACTGTGTAATAAATTTTATTTTTTTTGATTGGTCAACTAAAAATATCTGAAACAAATCTTTCAAGAAAAATTTGCAACGTGGAAAATTTGTTAGGCGAATTATATATAATACATCGGTTGAACTTTTCATTCACTAAATGAATTTCTCCGTTTTAATATAATTACTTTATTATGGAATTCTGAAAAATGGATACATAAAACATTCTATCGCGACCTTTGTCTTATATCTCTCGAATGAGATCTTGTCGAATTCAGTGTTGTTCTAGATTGATTTATCAAGAAACCGCCAGTCAACATATGAGATGATCTTCTCGTTTACTATCGAACATTGATCTGTACTATTGACTATAGATAGTTGATTGGTTTTTTATTCTCACACCGTTCATGATCAGTTTGAGAAAGACATGGTGTTTCGGCTAGCACTCGAGATAAAAATGAATCACATCAGCTGGGACGAGAATTCGACTGGAAAGAAATGAGGAAAAACTCGAATGTAAAGAATGAAAAGAAATAGGAAAAATGCTCTCGTATATGCTACATTTTCTTGTTATGAATTCTAAACTAAAAAAAGTATTCTTGTTTATCTTATTATGCTATTCGATGAGACTAGGAAGAACAATCCTTTCTTACTTCCAAATGCCTTTTTGCAATATTGTGAAGTTCTGATAAATTTGGCTTGCCTCATTTTATTTGTTCGATAACCAAATACAAATAAAAGCGCATCGATAACATTTGAAAGTTGGATTTCCTGAATTCTGAATTAGGATATTGAATACCAGTGGCTTAGAAATCTGTTTAACGATACACATTGTTTCACAATTCTTTTTTTTATGAAAACTAGAAAATCAAGAATATTACATTTATCAACGATAATAATATCACTAGAATTTAAGAGACAACTTCCGACAACAAACATGGCCAGTAAAGAACTCATTGAAGCAAAAGGTGTACAATTAAATAAAGTTCTGGAAGTTGATAAATTACGAGAGACCTTTTTGGACAATTTCTTGAAGGATCGTTGGAAATTCTATCAAAAGGTAATTATGAATTTGGAAAATTTGGAAAGCAAATAAAGTTTTTAAACTTTTAATAATATATATATATATATATATATATCATTTTTATAATATTATAATAGATATTTGCAAGTTTTGCCAACTTACCAAACCTGCATATTAATATAAATCTTTTAAAATTTATATATAACTCTTATAAATACCCAAAGAAGGACAAAATCAGAAAAAATAGATTGTAACCTGATGCTTACCGAAGGTCTCACGGAAAATTTTTTTAAACCTTCCATCACCTAAATTGTGATCCTTTACTAGGGTTTATTGAATGAGACATTTGTCAGATTATTAGAAGAATGTTCCACTTGGAACCCTACAATAGATATGAGTAAAATGCTACCATTACTAAAGTTGTTATGTTTAAAAACCTAAAATTTATAGTAATAGGACACAAAATGTCAATTGAGCAAGTACAAGGTCAAGAATCTCAACGTTTTATGACACGAAGTACTGCTCGTGTCCGCATCGACAATGTCAAAAGACAACGAGCAGCAAGTTAAAAATAATTTTTTTTTTTCAATTTTATTTATTTTTTATTTTATATATATATACTATTTTTTAAAACTTTATAGCAATCTCAATTTTTAATAACATTATCCGCTTACATATCTCATTATTTTATTAAAAAAAAAAGTTCAAAACGAACGAACATCTGTTGGTTACCTATTTAAAGTAAAATTTGATAAGTTTTGACCTACAACCAGAGGTTAAAAGCATCAACATTAATGAATTGTTGACTAATTCACTGAGCTCGACTGTTAATTTACAACTTAAAAGAATAAAGAACGGTCACATGAAGATCTCGCATCATTGTTTAGAGGAGATAATCTAAATTCACATATTGTCGGAACCTCTATTGTAATATTTGTTTATTGTTTGTTACCTTCAAGGCTTTGCAACTATTTACAGTAGATCTAGTCTAGATCTAATATTTGTTTCACATATAGTCACCGCCTATACTACCAAGTTTATTTTATACCATTTTGTTCAAATCATAAGAATATATATACATGTACTGTATATATTTTAAGAGAATTTTGATGGTATGAAATAACTTCTACGCAAAAATGATTTTAAATATAAATGATCTTAACGATACTACAAATCTGATTTATAAAAATCTAAACCTACATCGTTTTTTTTTTATAATAATTATTATTTTAAAGATAAATTATTCACAGATAAATAATAATAATTAATCAAATATTTTATACATTACGTAGAAAATTACAAAACTCTAATTAACCAATACTTAACCCTCCCCTATTAATATAATCAAGTGCATCAGGAATTCGCCTATTCGAATAAAACGAAATTAATAAAAAAAAAAAGAAAAAGAATTTAAAACAAATGAAATAAATAATAAACTCTTACTTAAAGAAATGATCATGACCAACTCTGTCCATTATACCAGCGCGTACAAATAATTTCTTTTGATTCTCGCGCAATTTCACGAAATACACTTTAACCCGACGTTGTTGATATGATTCAACAATTTCTAAAAGAATTTGTGCGGCACTACACGTAATTGAACAACTTGATTTAACAACTTGAATTCAAACGAGAAAAAAAAAGTCGTCATATTTTAACGTATTCTCTATGTACCTAGCATCAACTTCCTCCATCGTTTCTATGTCAAATATCACGTTTTCAATTGGAGACATTCGAGCCTCTTCTGAAGGATGAACACTCATATCACCAAATTCTTCTAAACGTCTTAATCTATCTTTAAGTTGACCAGTATTTGCAAAGTACAAAGGTTCAGCGATTCTGACCACAAGTACTCCTTCAACATGTTCTGCTTGATCTGGGAAATCTTTGATAGGTTTGAATTTGTCTGTTTCACCTATCTTACCCTATATTATGTAAAAAAAAAAAATTAATCATCAAAAAAAAAAGAATGAAAGAATCGAAAATAATAATTATAATTGATTCGTGAATACATACCAATAATGTGATACGTGGATAAGTAGAATGTTTAACAACAAGTAACAATGATAATGCGACCGAAATTAACGTGCCATATTCGGTGGAAATAAAGATGGTGGATAAAAATGTCAAAAGGAGTAAAGCGTAATCTTTCCATGCTTTGATCTTGTACATGAAATATAAATCATGGGGAAGCTCGTCTAACAATGATATAGCGGCAACAGTAACAATTGACGCTAATACAGGTTTCGGCAAATAATAAAATGCATCAAGAAGGAAAAACAAACATAAAAGTACGAGAATAGCATTTATGAACCCTGATAATTGAGTCCTAGCACCAGCTCTGTCATTGATACCACTCCTTGCCATACCACCATAAGCAGGGAAACTTTGGAAAAAACTTCCAATCAGATTTGCAGTACCCAAAGCAACTAGCTCACGATTTGCACTAACAGCATAATTATGCTTCGTCGCGTAAGTTTTTGTGACCACAATAGATTCCACAAAGCCAATGACCGAGATCAAAGCAGCTGTTTCAAAACAATCTATTAAATGAGGAAAGGATGGTGCGATAGGAATTCTGAATCTAAATCCACTTCCTTTAACTGATCCAAGAATATAAACCCCGTTTTTATTCCACTCAAAAGTTTTGCATAGGATTGTAAATATTATTACACATATCAAGATCTCTGGTATGAATTGCACATTTGGCCATCGCTTGGCGATCCTTTTTTTGAGTCGTCCAAATAATAAAAGAAAAGCAAGACTTGAGAATGATACTATAGTTGTTAGTCTGTGAGCGACGTGAAGATGTGTGATAATATAGATAAATATTTCAACGGTCGATGATGCGTGACCAATTCCATCTTCTGCGGCCATATCGGATAAGCGGAACATGGTCAAGAATTGTTCGATCATGATCACAAGCGCTACCGCCGAGATAAATCCACGTAGAAGAGCGCGTGATAAAACAGAATCCAAGAATCCTAACCGAACGATACCAAGAATGAATGTCAAAATGCCCACAAAGAATGTGACTAGACCTGCAATCATAATTGCGGTTTCTGGATCACCCTCTTTGCCTAAATATTTTTGCTGTTGAGATACAGAAGAACCCACAAGCATAGATACAAGTGCTTCAGGGCCAATGACTAATTGTCTAATCGTAACATCAAAATCGGTTAAAATGAAAGAATTGAAATTATATTTAGTGATTGATTTCATTTACCTTGAAGTCCCGAGAAAAGAATAAATTAATCCAGGAATGATAACCGAATATAAACCATGAACAGGCGGTAACTTTGCAAGCACGGAATATGATAAAGCAGAGGGCAACAAAATAGCTGTTACGGTTAAACCGGCAGCAAAGTCTCCCCAAAAAGTTTGTAACGAATAAGTTGGTAACCAACTGAAAACTGGAACATAATATCTAAGTCGAGTTTTAAATGTTAACCATGTCTCTATTTTTTTGTTAGGTCGTGAATCTGAAAATTTGAAATGTGAGAAAGTAACTCTTACAAAAACCAGTAGCCAGAGTATATGTTTTATATTGGATATACCTGAGACATCACGAGCCATGAGTGGGGTTACCTCTGTAAGTTGCTGTTCGTCATCGTCAGTATCATATTGACTACCGTCTAGTTCACAATAATTTAGATCATGTAATTTAAAAAAAAATGAAAAAAAAGGATCTTTGAAATTTTATTGAAATCGTACCAAACTCTACAGGTGTTGATAAGTTACGCGGAGTATGCGACATTACTTTAGAGAGAAATAAATCACAATTTTATTTTTTTTATTTTTTCGAGAAGAATGGATTGATTAAATTATATAACAAAAAAAAAAAAAAAAACTGGGAACACAACAAGGCCAATTTTAGATAACATTTCCATATATGTATTTCGGCAATATTCAATATATTCCTGACCGAAAGTTTTTTTTGGATTTTTTTTTTTTTTGATTAATGTGAGAAATTGCAGATTTTGTGATCATTAAATTTACAAACAAAAACAAGATGACTCAGCCATTTTCTTTGTTCCTACTTATCATGAAAGGAAATAGATCGTTATAATATTATTGTGAGAGTCTTGATGATTTAGCGATTATCTTAAAATATATGTAATACAAAAGAATCAATTGTCACACACTTTAGTAATTATTCAAATATTAAAAAATTAGGACGCGAAATTAAGTATTATTATTTATTCTTGACGAACAATTGTTAAATTGCTAATTAAAATTGATATTAGGAATTCATTGATAGATTGAATATAAAAAAAAAAAATTGTTCCTCCGAAAAAAAAAAAAGTTCCAAAGTTCCCTCCCAAATAAAATGTAAAAATAAAAATGTTTAAGATCGTTCCCCACGAAGTCTTCTGGCAAGTTGAATATCTTTTGGTTGAATTGTAACACGTTTCGCGTGAATAGCCGCTAAATTTGTATCTTCAAATAAAGCAACCTAAAATTTTCGAAAATGTAATAAAAAAAAAAAGAAAAAAATTATTTTATTCGTTAATTTTTAATTGGTTGAAAAGGCAAATAATTAATTGAACAAACATACCAAGTAAGCTTCAGCAGCTTCTTGAAGGGCTCCAATGGCCGAACTTTGGAAGCGCAAGTCAGTTTTGAAATCTTGTGCAATTTCACGAACCAAGCGTTGGAATGGAAGTTTTCGGATCAACAATTCAGTCGATTTCTGGTAACGTCTGATTTCTCGAAGGGCAACGGTACCAGGTCTATAACGATGTGGCTAATGAAATAAATATATATAGAAAATAAAAGAGAACATATGTTAATGAAATGAAAGATATTATACATTAAAAATAAAATAAAATAAAACAAAAATATTTTTTTTTTTTTTTTTCTTCTTTCTTCATACTTTCTTAACACCACCAGCAGCTGGAGCGCTTTTTCGTGCAGCCTTAGTTGCGAGTTGTTTACGAGGAGCTTTTCCACCGGTTGATTTACGAGCGGTTTGCTTTGTTCGTGCCATTGCTATATGTTTGTTTGTAAATAAGTTTTATGTTTTTGTGTTTTAAAGAGACGAGTCTCGGGTTTTTTTTTTATAAAATCAAATAAGGGTTTAACAAAGAGGAAAGATTTTTGTCCGTGATACAAAAGATTGAAAATTGGGGCGAGTCAAAAATCTACTCTTTATATAACCTTTTGATCTACGCGCGTCAATTCAAAATGATTGTTTTGAGGTTGTGTATCAAAACGCGACAAAATAAAACTAAGCCACGAATTTCACGAAATTTAAAATGATCAAGGCGCGTTATGATCGACATGAATTTTTGTAAAAAATAGAAACAAAGAAATCGCGAAAAAATCTAAAAATAGCAAAATTCAGCATAAATAAAATACAATACACGACACGAAACAAGGTAAAAATAAAAAAAGCCAATCGCGGCGTGTTTTTGTTTACGCGGAGCAATTTACACAATTTACGAAAGAAACAAAAAACAAAGATTGTCGCGTTTATTGATCTAAACGCGATCAGATCAGAGTATATATAAAGACACCTTTTTTCCCACTCACTTTTCGGGTCGTTCATCAAAAATTTAAAGAAACAAACAACACACCGTAATCACCGTAATCTACCTCTCACGTAAAAAAAAAACTATCTTACCCTTTAAAAAAAAAAGGTACCTAAAACCCTTTCATTTTATTCTTTCACAAAAACAAAAACATAAAAAATGTCTGGACGTGGTAAAGGAGGAAAAGGACTTGGAAAAGGAGGCGCAAAACGTCATCGCAAAATTCTTCGAGATAACATTCAAGTATGGAACTTTAAACTTTTAATTTATTTTTGACATTATCTTTTTTTTTTATTTTTTAATATCTTTCTTTTTTTTTTTTTTATTTAAAAAATTTCTTTAGGGTATCACTAAACCTGCTATCAGACGTCTCGCACGCAGAGGTGGAGTAAAACGTATTTCTGGTCTTATCTATGAAGAAACACGTGGAGTCCTCAAAGTTTTCCTTGAAAATGTAATTCGAGATGCTGTAACCTACACAGAACATGCTAAGCGTAAGACTGTAACGTCTCTAGATGTTGGTTAGTAACATTTCCTCTGTTTATTTTTTTTTCTTTTTTTTTCGAAAAAATATTAATTAAAACATTTTCCTTAAAAAGTCTATGCACTCAAGCGACAAGGACGTACTCTTTACGGTTTTGGAGGTTAAACAGTTTCTTAACACTTTACCATCAAGAAACGAGAAGACTAATATTCAAATACGACCATATATCTATCTTTCTTTATATACTCAAACTTTTTTTCTTCTTTTTTTTTTTTTTATCTCCTCATAATGCTTGGACTCTGTAAATTAATAATAATATTATGCGCTCGTTTCCCAACAGAATAAATCGACGTATTTGATTGCACAAATTTGTATTTTTTTTTGTTAATAAATGGTATCTTTGCTTAAGTGATAAATAAAAAATGGATTCTGGCAATGATTTTCGTATCTAATAAAATAAACTTGTAAAAAAAAAAAAAAATTTACATTCTTCGTTTTCTTAATTGCCTTGCCTATTTGGAATAAATAAAATTTTAAAAATACATTTTATTCGAGTAAAAACTTTTAATATGGTAACGTATGTGTCTGTGTTTAAAGGAAAGACATTTCTTGATTTCTAAGAAAAGAAAAAAAAACTTTCATTCGTTAGTCTTCAACTTGTGAAGTGGATCCGAAAGTATTAGAAAAACTTCGAAAATTTAGGTTTTCAAAAAATTCGAAAGGAAGTGCCGCTTTTGTTTGTAAGTTTGTCTGATCTTTCTATCAAGTACGAACTTATACTTGCCACACGAAAAAAAATAAAACGCCAAAATTCAACGAAAACGAAAATTAAAAGAAAAAAATTTTTATCTTCAACAAAGTGAAAATCGATAGAGAAAATTTATTAGTGATTGAAGACGAACTATATGACAATATAACCTTGGAAGAACTTGTTGAAGGTAATATAATATATTATTATTTAATCTTTTTTAATGTTCCGACCAAAAAATTATTAACCTGTATTCTATTTTTTACTAATAAAAAAAAAAAGAATTGCCCGAAAACTCTCCAAGGTACATTGTACTAAGTTACGAAGTAAGAAAAAATTTTCTATGGAAAATTCTTTTTATTAAAACCAAAAAAAAAAAAAAAAATAAGGATCTTGTTATATTAATGAATCAAATCATTTTGGATTAGTTATTACATAACGATGGACGTAAATCGTATCCTTTAGTTTTGATTTATTATTCTCCAGCAGCTACAAAACCCGAGATACACATGCTGGTAATTACATCATCGTTTTTTGAACGTGAAATTTGATTTGATTTTGAATTTGATTTCATTTTTTGAATCAATTACATACGTAGTATGCAACAGCAAAAACCTACTTTCAACAAAAGGCAGAATTAAATAAGGTAACCAACTTTAAGTTCAGATCATTTCAGAACTTCACTTTTAATCCTATTCTCAAATAATATTAGGTATTTGATATTCGAGAAATTGAAACGTTAACGGACGAGTGGTTACAAGTGAGTTGAATTTCCCTTTTATCCGATTCATGGTTCTTTACCTTATACCACTAACATCTTTACATCTTACTATTCACTTTATTAAACTGAAAGGAAAAACTACTTCATTGAAATATTTTCTTTTTATGTGTAACATCATCAACTTTAAAATTAAATTGCCGAGGCCATTGTTTCACACAAACAAGAACCTCCTATATCTCTTTTTAATATAAAAAGTATGTATAATCTGTACAATTACGGCATAATAAATAAAAAATGAATGGAATAAAAAAATATATATTAGAATTCAACTTTTGAACAGATGAAAAGTCCCTTGATCACGTCCCTTTTTCATAAACCAGTATCAAAAAAAAATTAAAGGAAAATTAAAGGAAAATTTAAAGAAAAAAAAACTAAAATAAGTTCTCCTTTCCAACCCTACGCAGTCCTTATTATTAAACCCAACACGTCTATCCTTTCCTTCCTTCCTTCCTTCCTTCTTGTTCATCTTATCATGCAAGCATTCTCGAGTTATTGAAGATGTCTAATAAAATACAATAAATATAATTTTTTTTTTTTTTGCATAAATAAATTTTTTTTAAAAAAAAAAAATGTTTATTAGCATTCTTTCCAACAAAATCAAAACTAAGATTCATCGATAAGCGCGACTATCATCCTAAATTAAAGTGGAAACAAAAGTTTTGTGAGTATTGATCATTCATTTTTAAAAAATTATTATTTTTTAACATTTGTTCATACCTATATAAATAATAAAAGAAACTAATGAGATAAAATCCAAGTTTAGCAAAACACTCGGTTTTATGTTGCCCTATAGTTCGAAAAATCTCTGTGGCATCATACATGTGTTTATTATTCATTACTCTAAAGATAAATAAAAGTGTTAGAAAATAATGAATTGAATCAATTCAAAATAGTAAATGAAATATAAATTACTTGTTAATATTATAGGCAACTAATACTAAATTAATAACTCCTGCGAACCAACTTCCATTGATAATCAGCATAAAGGTAAGGAAAGCATGAGCCATCATTTCTGGGAGCACAAACTAAAAAATATTAATATATTCGTTAGAGAAATTAAATTTGACGCACATATATGCCAAGAAAAGTTAAAACGAACCTGATTCAATTTATTGCAAAGATCAATTGGGTTAATATAATCACATTCAAGATCCGAAAACATGATCGTCTATTAAAATTGAATGATAAGAGTCATGGATTGATAATATAATATTGTTTAATTAGTATTTCATTTTATGAGTTCCTTTCTATCGCATTGTTCATGCATATTTCCTTTCCATTTAAAAAATTATACCAATGCTCGTGAATTGAATAAAAAGGATACAAAAAAGACCATCGAAAATAATAAAATGGCGGCCATAACGGTACCAAAGAGAAAAAGCATGGCTTCACCTGGCATTTTTATTATTATTTTTACTTATTTCTTTTAATTACAGTAATAGTAATATGAATGCCAGAAAAAAAAAATTTTAAAAAAAATTAAAAATTTTTTTATATTAAATCATTCCCCGATATCGTAGATTGTGAGACTTGAATCATTACACAACATTATAATTCATCCAATAATAAATTAGATAAGCATTATCACCTGATTCCTTCAAGATAATCAAAAATTTTTTATCCTCTCTCAAGAATGTCAAATAGAGATTTTGTTAAATTGACCTCAGAACCTCTTATACTTCAAGATATTGTAGATTTGGTAAAAGATGATGGGGCTGGAGCAATATCAACATTTAATGGTACAACTCGTAACATTTTCGAAGGTAAAGCAAAATATTGAGGATATCTATACATATATACATAATGATTCTATCTTATTTATTTTAATCCATTTTTTTTTTGTTTCTTTGTGAATAGAGAAATCGGTTATTCGATTAGAATACGAAGCATATGTTCCAATGGCAGAAAAAGTTTTATTGGATATTATATCTGAAGCAAGAACAAAATGGGACCTCACTAAAACTGCAATATTTCATCGTACAGGTATTGTTCCTGTGGGAGAAACGAGTGTAATAGTAGCAGTATCAAGTGTTCATCGTAAAGAATCTATTCATGCTGTAGAATTTTTAATTAATCATTTAAAAGAGAAAGCTCCAATATGGAAGAAAGAAGTTTATAGTGACGGAAGTGTTTGGAAGGAAAATGCTGAAAATAGACGAAAATGTTAAATAAATACTTTTATTAATTTAATATACCTAAAAATACATTAGTTTTTATTATCAATGTCAAAATTAAATTTTATTAGTCGATTTTAGCCATTAAAGTCTTCACTATCCGCTATGTATAATAGACTACAACAATCTTTATTGTAAGAATCTTATTAGTCTTCAATATAATTAAATTTATTTTTTTGCATTTAAATATCAATATATTAGCAATTTTGCTAATTATTAAATTATAATAAATTAAATTATATTATTATATTAATATTTGAATTCTTTTAATTCAAATAAATTACAAATTTAAAGTTTATCTTTTACTATTAATAAAATTTTAATAACTTTAAAGTATAATTATTAAATTTAATAATATTATTCTTTATATAAGCAATTAATATTACTAAAACACAATTTAAATAAAGAATTCTGGATTTCTAAATAAGTTATTATTTATTTTAATTTTTTAAATATTTTATTAATTCATAATTATTAATTAATTATTAATAATAATAATTTTCTTTTATCGTTTAATTCATTTGTTCATAAAAAAAATTTTTTTTAAAAATTCATTTTTAAATTTTTTTAATTCAAAAAAAAATGGTAATGATCAAAGAAATTAAACAAGAATTAAACGATGCTAAAGAGAGGTTGGGTAAGGTAGAAAAGGAGTTAAAGAAGTTCGAAAAAAAAGAAAAGGATGAAAAGAAGTTGAAAAAGTTGAAAGGGGTCTGAGAAAGTTGAAGAGTCAAATAAGAAGTGAAAGAATAAGAAGAAAAAAAATTTTTTAAAGGAGGATATAGAAGATTTAGAAGGATAAAGAAATAAGCTGAAGAAGGAAAAGAAAAAGTTAGAAAAAAAAAAAGAAGATTAGAGAAAAAAAGTTTTAAAATAGAGAAAAAGGTTAAAAGAATTCAATGAAAAGGAAGGTAATGAACAAATTGCATAAAAAAAAATTATTTTTCATTCATTCCATTTCATTTATTTATTTATTTGTTTGAGAAACTTTAGTCTTTTTTTTTTCTTTTATTCATTTTTAGTTGCAAAACGCAAATCTAAAGCAAAATTAAGTGAAAGTAAGCTTGCTTTTTTAAATTTGGGATGTATTTAAATATTTACAAAACTAATTAAGACTTTATTTGCAAAAGATATTGATAGAAACTTGTTAGATCGTGTTAAAAAAGTAAAATATTTTGCATCAGAATTTGCCTTATCAAAAAATTGGGTTAAAGAGTTGAATCATTCTAATCCACCATTTTTAAATTGTTGTTCATCAAATAATTATGACATATCAATTACCTTGTATAATAAAGTTTTTGGGAAGTTTTTAAAAGATTGCAAAGATCTTAGTATAACAAATGATGACAAAAATATAGTTTGTGAACTGCTATTAATAATGAATGGTATTTTTATGTCATACAATGAGAGAATAAAAGCATTCTAAAAATGGGGTAGAAAGTTTATTGATTATGATACAACATCTTATAATTTTAGTAATAATCAGTCAATTGATGGAGTATGGTAAAAGAAATACAATAGAAAAATTTCCCCAAACATTACTGTACACCTCTAACCTTATGATTAAAGTATTATAAATAGTTTTAAGATGAGAAATATAATTGATTTAATAATTCTTTAGTTAAAATATAATTGATATTAAATTTATTTATACTTAATTCTAATTCAACTTATTTTAAGCACTATTCTATTAATTATCTTTGAATTCAAAAATGAGTTTTCATCAACTGATCCTTACATACAAGCAAGCAAATACTATTCTAGATATTTTGAAGAGTTATATAATGAAAATTTATATATTCTTTAGCAAACTTGTGTACTAACTTTTCTTGTTTACATTTATAATCCTTATTTTAGAATTGCAGATGCAGTTGTGAGACAAAAAATCACCATCAACCCACTTGTAAAAGGATCACTAATTTTTAGATATAAAAACAAGTTTTGGATAGATCAGATAACAAAAGTTTTCTGTGCATTACGAAAAGCCAATAACCATCTAGATGAATATTATGGTCAAATTTCAAAATCTCAAATGAATAAAGAAGTAACAAAGCAAGCATGCTTTTCTTTTCTAAAAAAATATAAATCAATATCTGAAGAACTTGTGAATATTGAATATATAAATCGTATTGACAGTGAAAGTAAGAAACTTGTTTTTTTTAGTAAAGAAATCAGAAGGGATAAAGTATATTTTGAAATTTGCTGCTTTAATAAAAGGTTTGCACCAAAACTGATAAAAGTTGACAATATTGAGAATATTAACTACAGATTTGTTATCATAAAATATTTTGATAAATTTAATATTATATCTGATGTATGGCATAAATTAAATGAGAAAAAAAAAGACAGAATTGAAAGCAGAGATTTTAGATATAGTAAAAATAATACATAATAACAAATTTGTTTATGGTAACCTATGTTTTAACAATATAATGATAAAATTAGATTCAAATGGAAAATGGGTTATAAAGTTCATAGATTTTGATTAGACTGGGTATGATGGGAAAGCAAAATATTCACAATTCTTGAATAAGAAAATTAATTAACATAGTGATATATAATAACTTGGTAAAATTTTCTATGATCATGATAATCATTTAATAAATTATTACTTTAATAATTATAGATGATCCTGAATAATTATTAACTTTACTATATTTTCTATGTAAATGAAATTTCTAAATTTTTAATTTACATTTGTTATATTTTATTATTATTCATATATTTTATTAAAGTTTTAATTAAGAATTTGCTTTAAAATATTACATTGTTAAGAATATGACTATTATTCATATGTATTGCTAAATCTATTTATTGTAATAGAAAAACCTACAAAGTGAACACAAAATTATATATATAGGAATAAGTATATATGAAAAGTAATAAATATAATAGTTCTAATGAATATCAAAAAGCAAATGATTTTTTAAAAAAAGATTGTGATTGTGATTATTCTTCAAGAATTCCCAAGAAACAATTTGCAAAATTAAGAGAATCTTTTTAAGCTCTTTTCAAGACTGAACAAGACATATTTTTAATGATCTAACTTAAGATAATAGATGGTGGATCAACAAGCACTAGCAGACATCTTAAAAAGAAAACCAGATCTAATAAAAGAACTTTCTATCACTAAGATCACAATACATCTCTTTGTCAAGAAACTTACCTCAATATATTAGAAATTGGTAGAACTTATTTTGAAAATATTAAAAATCATCTAATAAATAATGGACTTATATCAAGAATTCATAATAATATTAAAAGAATGCCTCAATAAAAAACTAAAATGGTGATTGACAAAGGTTTTGCAGAAATAGTAAAGAATTTTCTGAAAAATTATGTAAAAGTTTATGGATTACCAAGTCTAAGAAGAAGTATCAATAGAATAACTTAATCAATTGTATTCTTACCAGCTAAAATGAGTTATAAATCAGTCTATAGAGATTTTCTGGCTGGTTTAGAAGAAGATAATAAATTAAAATCTTTGACGTATAATGCCTTCAGAAAATTGTGACATCAATTAATACCAAAGATTCAAATTATGAGTTCTAAGACTGATCTGTGTGATACTTGTCAGCATTTTAAAGATAGTTTACATTATAATGCTCTAAGAAGAAAAAGCTAAAGATCTACTCAAAAGATTCAAAGAATATCTGTTCAAGGTAAAATTAAAAAGAAATTATTATAATAAAAATATTAAATTAGCAGAAAAACAAAGAAAATTAGTTGATCAACATTATTCTAAAGGTAAATCACAATATTGTAGCATTAATGCTATTGCTCATTATAGTTATAATTGAGTCCAAAATGTTCATGTATCTCATTTAGATCAACAAGTAAGTAAAATTTATTACCTGTCTATGTAAAGTTAATTTATTTGGTATTCAAGATAAAACAATAAGGAAACAAATTAATTATGTTCTTAATAAAGATGAAATTATAGAAAAAGGACCAAATGGTACCCTTAGCATAATTTTTGATGGAATTAAGAAAATGAATAAAGGTGAAAAACATTTAAAAATTACTTGTGATAATGCTGGAAGACAAAATAAAAACAATATAACAATTTGGTTTTATTTATATTTGGTAATTTGAGGTTATTATGAAAGTATTAAATTAAACTTTATGATTCCTGAACATACTAAATTAATTTTGGCATAATTAAAAAATTCTATAGAAGAATAAGAGTAGACTGTTTGGATCATGTAGTTGAGGTAATAAAAAAGTCTAGTCCAGCAGGATTGAACAAAGCTCAATATTATGAAGGTGAAAGAGGTTTTCAATACTTAGATATTAAAGATATTTTGGGAATTTATTTTAAGAAATTATCAAGTATACAGAAATATTAACATTTTCTTTTTGAAGCATCTAATCTTGATATAGTAAAAGTCTAAGAAGTTGCTAATAGACCTTTTACTGAATTCAATTTATTAAAAATCAAGAAAGCAAATATTTTTGAAGAAATTAGAGCTTTATCTATTTTAGTATTAATCCCACCTCCTTTGGATTACAAAAGACAAGAATACCTTTATAACAATATTTGCTTATTTGTGAAAGATGAATACAAAGATACTAATTATTCAAGATCATCCTATGCTGGCAACAAATAAAATATTTAGAATAAAATCACTTTCATGATTTTATCACCCATTAATCTTTTTCCACTTTTAAAGTAAAAAAGTACTAAAATAATTTATATACTTAATATATTCTCATGAAAGTATATTAGTATATTAAAAGAACAAATAAATAAAAAAAGAAAATCATAGTAAACCAGTGATGGCAAGTGATCTGAAATGACCCAAATGACTTTGATGACTGGTCACTAGTCATTAGATCACTTTAAAAACTAAATGACTTATGACTTAGGTCATTTTATAATATATTGTGGATGTTAAAACAAAATATTTCAAA